CCCACGCAATTCAAGTACGAAAAAGGATCGGCAACCGTATCGTTACACGTGGCATTTGGATATCCATTGTAATAAATTAACGTTTGACTTATTCCTATACGCCACTTTTTGAGTTTTCAAGATTTTTTAAAAAGGAAAACGTGATCTCTGTCATGTATCGTCACGTGGTGAGCTTTCACGTTCCTACGTTTCTCTCCTAAAATTTATCGCTGTTAAAGCAGTTGGGCACTTTTGGGTTTTTATTATTTTCTTTTTCGGGTCTTTCCTTTTAGGTAAAGAGCACGACTCCTGTTACTGCGTTTTGAACCGAATGGCGTGCATGAACCTGATAGCTTCTACAAATTACAAACTTTTTTTTTAAGAACTTGTAGATATACCAAAACAATTTTACTTTTTTTTCAAAGTGACCGTTCATTAGGAATAGGAAGCATTATAAAAGTGGGAAAGCCCAAGCAAAGCAGCACATCCCAACAATTAGAACAAATGGGCCCAACACAAAGATACAACATAGAATTTTAACAAGTTGAGGCTCAAGTGTTGTAGATCATAGACTATCATGGCCCGATTCGAAAATAAGAATAATTCTCGAATCAGGTGTGTAAATTGAATGAAAAATAAAATAAAAAGATTGAAAAATTGGTTAAAATACATTTCTCTTATAATAATAATAATCTTACAAGTATACAAGATATGAATAAAACTTTATTCGTCTCAACTAATCCAACTTCTCTGATTTAGTCTTTGTCTTGCCCACTAATTGATTTGAAAAACAAAATAGATGAGGGATGAGCAAAGCATCGCTTAGTGAATAGATTATGTAATATGCCAACAATGTCATTTTACACACTCTATAAAATATAATAAAAAGATACACAAACCAAATCATATCACATCATTACTTCAAATCTTGATTATCCTTCAAAAATTGTACCCAGCACGTGACCCATATTGGCCTCACTACCCTATGTCCCCGTCTGTTACATTTACCTTCGATACCCCGTCACTAAAGTTCTCATGTTCCATGAATAGTATGTAATTCACAAAAACTCTAAATATATATATATATATTGTGTGAAATATTGCACAAATTAGACATGCTTGACGTGAAAATAGAGAGAGATTTGTAAATAGAATAAATCCATGATTTTCACATTTATCACAAAATAAGAAATTTTAGAACACATTACATAACTCACTCACCATGATAATTATAATTCAAAAATCTTGCAAGACAATCTCACACGTTCTCTATCTTGTTTCTTCATGATGACTTGACGTCATCCTCACCTTCCTCCGGCTTATCACAGGCAGTCTACTCAAGCTTCTAAACTCAACGGTGGCAACTAAACATGAGGGTTGCGCTCGTTGCGGGACTTAACCCAACACCTTACGGCACGAGCTGACGACAGCCATGCACCACATGTGTCCACCTTCCCGAACACCCCTCTCTTTCAAGAGGATTCGCGGCATGTCAAGCCCTAGTAAGGAGACAAAGGCATAAAAACAATATAGAATTTTCGGTACGAAACGTTTTTCATGGATTCATCGGTTCATTGTTATTAAAAAAAAAAAAAAATCTCGTAAAAGCTTCTTCTTCTTCTTCTTCTTCTTCTTCTTCTCTCTCTCTCTCTCTCTCTCTCTCTCAAAACACTACTACATAATTATATTCTAAAGAGTTGGAATGAATGATTGAAAGCAATGAAGGATGATACTTATAGGAGAGGCTATGGAAGTAACAAGCATATTAGAATGTTGAGGGAATAGATGACTCATTCCTTTCCACCAATGATATCATAAGGAAATATGTGACTCATTCATTTCCACCAATTTTATGCCATAATGATTAATT